ACTTGTGAAGTATCAGAATTAACCAGGGAAGGTAAAACCACCATAGAACTAAAATATGTTGGTAAGAATTTTAAAACCTTCCTTTTAATTTGTCCTACAGTAGCCCTAATCCTATTAAAATTGGGCACAATGAGGCCAGGACCTCCTTTGAATCAAAAAGTAGTTTATGTCTAGTAAATGATTATGTAATGTTTAGCAGTTTAAGATCTTGAGTTTTAATAGCTCTTCTACTTCTCATAATAAAACTCCTTTGCTGTGTTATTTGTGTATTGTCAGGTTCTCAACTTTTGTCTAAGAACTGTTCTGCTGGTATAGAGGTCCAGGCATCATTTAATCTGCATTTCTGTTTGCTGCTATCAAAAGTACTATCTTTCATGTGATTAACTTTCCATGATCTTTCCAATAATGTGGCTTTTTTATTACCTGCACTTTGGTCAAGGGCTGACAAATCCCAGCCATGCTCCAGCTGGAAAGGATAGATTAGAAGGAGAATCACAAAATCAAAATCAGGCCATAATGAAGTTTCCTTGAGGTTTCCTGCTATGATGTTTGTTCTTTTTCTTGGTCAAGATGAGGGAGAGCTAGGGATCCAAGAATTAATTTTAAGGCAGCCTTGGTTATAGCACCATGATTGTGCCCTTCTTCACAGACTTGGGCTGGGGAGTTGCATAAAGCAGTAAAGCTAGCTGAAGTACACAATCTGCTTTCTTTCTAGTCCTTGCCATGCCAGCTGATTACTTTAACCACATACAGGTGCATACTGACTTTCTATTTTGAAAGCTCTATTTAGAACCACTAGTCATATTACTGCTCTCAGGATTAGACAAGCCTTTGAGAACCTCTGCTTTAGATGGGATCAGACCATTCAGTTGAATCAACTATTTGCCTTCTATTCTTCTAGCGTTCCTTGTTATGAAATGTCTATTACTAAATGGGGAATGGGGTGTTTATTCTGATGGAATATTTTGACATTCCATCTAATTCTGCAACTTAACTATTTGCCTCTATTGAACTTGAGAAGTTACTTCACTGGGTCCAAGTTACCTCATCTCTACAACGGGGATGAAAAGAGATTCCTGCTTTTATATATTCGCCAGTCGAACAAGCATCATGAGATCCCTACGTACCAGTCCTTTGTAAACCAAAGAACTATTCAAATATCAGTTGTTTTCCTGGGACATTTATTTTATGAAGTTGAATGAGTTGCTGAAGCTGGAGTGTCATGAGAGGGGTGTCTGTGTGGTGCAGCATGGGCAGGAGATGGCTAAGAGCAGAATTTTATAGGTTTTTCTGCTCAAAAATATCTCCTACATTGGAAATGTCTAACTCACAATGGGGGAAAGTGATTTTGGATTAGAGTGTAGGTCACTTAGAAAAGAATTGGAAACTCAAGATTTAAAGGCCAGAAGATAGGATGAAGATGGATGGGAAAGGAATACCAATGTCTGGGATAAAGACAAAGTTTGTAATTTTTTTTTATTTTTTTATTTTTTTTTATTGCTAAAAGTATTACAAAGGGTATTGCATATGTGTCCTTTTTTTTTCCTGCTCTTGATGTAATTTTTTTAAATAAGGAAAACTGAAAGCATCTTCTTAAATATCAAACAACTATAAAATTTTAAAAATTAGGTTAGATACAAATGGGAATCTCTGCGTATAGTACAGGACCTAATTAAAAAACTTTGGGTCTGATGCTGTTATGTACTGAATGTTTGTGTCCTTTAAGACTCATTCATTGAAGCCCATGTGGAGCTGAGGCTTTGGGAGGTGATAGGTTTCTATGAAGTCGGGAGGGTGGGGTCACCCTGATGGGATTAATGCCCTTCGAAGAAGAGGAAGAGACATTCCAGCTTCCTCTCTGCACCACGTGAGGACACAATGAGAAGTCTTCCACCTGCAAGCCAGGAAAAGGGCCTTCACCAAGAATCGAATCTGCTGGCACCTTGATCTGGGACTCCCAACCTCCAGAACTGTGAGGAAAATTCATTTAAGCCAGTTCAGTTCAGCTCCCATCAGCATCTCTCACTTCTGTGTGGAAAGTGCAAGCAGGCAAGGCTTCCTTTAAGAGGCAGGGGCCAAGAGCTCCCTTTGGCTCCTGGAGCAAGTAAGCTGGTGGGTCTATGCTGTAAGCCTTGCCTTTTAGGTTTGGAGGAATGGTGTGGAGGGAAGAGTAGAAAGCTTTATATTTCACACTTAGAGTTTTCTCCTATGTAGACAGTCCTCCTAGCAGAGCATCCCAGAGGGAGATCTGGGCACGCATCCTAAACTCCCAACAAACTCCTTAGTTCATACTTTATCATGGCACATTTGGAGAATTTACCCAAATTATTTGTTAGTCTTTCCATCAGATCACCATCTGAAAACATCAGGTCTTTTGTTTCTTCTCTTTTTTGCATGCACTTTGGCATGGGCATCTCTGTTCCAATCTCTTTGTTGTCCTTTGCTCTTCAGGTCATATTGCCCTGAGCTGTTCCTCTGTTGTGTATACTCATTGTGCCTAAACCCAGCTTAGTCTCATTTTCACATTGGTTTTATTTTATTATTTGTTTTTTAGTTTATTGATTAAGGTATTACACGTAACTTTCTGTGTGATTGTTTCATCTTTGTTTCCAAAGTCCCCTGATAAAATATGAACTATGCTAACTGTTGGGGCCATTACAATGCAAAACTGGTGTTTTGTTGTAGAGAATGTAGATGATTCTACCAGAGGTCTCAGACATTTGGCTGTGCACCCATTCTTTTTTTGGAAATAGTTATAGAATCACATGAAGTTTCAAAGATTGAATAGAGAGATGCTGTGTACTCTTATCCAGCTTTACCCAGTGGTAACATTTTATGTAACAGTAGTTAAATGTCAAAACCACCCAATTCACAATGGTACAATGTGTATATATTTCTTTTTATCACATGTGTACATTTCTGTAATGACCACCACAATCAGAATATAGAACTAACCCATTAACATAAATATCTGCCTCATGCAAGCCCTTTATAGTTACGTGCTCCCTTACTATCCCTTACCTGATAGCACAATTTGTCCTCCAGATCAATATTTTGATCATTTCCAAAATGTTTTATAAAAGTATGTAATAATTTGAGACTGGCTTTTTTTTAGTAAGAAAAATGCCCTTGAGATCTATTCATGCAATAGCTTCATGTGGCAATTTTTCTTTCTCTATCTCTCTCTCATCTTCCAAGCTATGGGTATATCACACCTTGTTGAACCTCCACTTACTATAGCACATCTTGGTTGTTTTCAGTTGTTTTGGGCTATTTCTCATGACATTTCTATAAACAATCATGAACAGTTTTTTATGTGGACATAGTCTTCATTTCTCTGGATAAATATATAGAATTACAACTACTGGGTCATATGTATTTATAGACTTAGTTTTTGAAGAAACTGCCAAACTGTATTCAGAGTGGTTGCTCCATTGTACATTCCCATCAGCAACATATGAGTTATATAGTTCCCCCACATTCTTGCCAGCATCTGGTGTTGTCACAATCTTTCCTGATCCCCCTAACTGCCTATCTGCACTCCCCTCCTGGACTGATCCCCCTAACTGCTTATCTGCACTCCCCTGCTGGCCTGATCCCCCTTACTGCCTTTCTGCTCTACCCTCCTGGCCAAATCCCCCTAACTGCCTATCTGGTCTCCCTTCCTCTCCCAGCACTTCAGACCCCCAATGCAGGCATGCTGAGAGCTCTCTGCTGCGGCCCCTCCCCTGTCCTGATTGGTAGTTATGTGACTCCATCAGCAACATATGAGTTATATAGTTCCCCCACATTCTTGCCAGCATCTGGTGTTGTCACAATCTTTCTTCATTGTCAACATGATATACATAATGTTCATAATATAGACATGAAGGCACTGCAAGATCCTTATATTAGTTTTCTAGTGCTGTATAACAAATAACCACAAATACACCAGCTTAAAACAGCTCCCGTTTATTAACTCACAGATTTGTAGGTCACAGTTCTGGTCAGGGTGTGGCTGGGGTCTAAAAGAAAGGCGTTGTCCAGGCTGTATTCTCAAATGGGTCCTGTTCCAAGCTCACATGATTGTGGCAGAATTTAGTTCCTCGTGGTTGCAGGACTGAGGTCCCTGTTTCTATGCTGGATGTCTGCTGTGGGCTTTTCTCAGATCCTAGAGGTTTCTCATTCCTTGTCATACAGCCTCTTCCACACTTCAAGCCAGCAAAAGAACACCATATTCTCATTGAACCCCTGTGACATGTTGGATTTCTTATGCCAAGAAGAGCACAGATCCTTTCCAGGGCTCACTTGACTTGACTAAGTCAGCCCTCTCCAAGGACAATCTCTTTTTCTTTATTTATTTTTATTTTTTATTTTTTTTCAGTTGATCAGCAGCCTAGCCAGGTTCTCTAGCCAGGATCTCCAGCCAGGTTCTGTGTTCTATTGTCTTT